GTGTGTTTGGTAGGGATTTTTAGGAAAAAAATTGATTTTTGAATAGTGATATGATAGGAAATGTGTGGTTGATGTGATGGAAAGTATTATTTAATTGAAAAATGTGTGGTTGAAAATGAGAATTGATTTACTGTAGAAAATGAGAATCTGTACCAAACAGGTCCTAAAAGTAGATAAAGAACAAAGGAAGTCACATACATAGTATATAATATACATCAAAATTTCAATTCAAACTAAGGAATGTACATTTTTGTTCATTTGGCATGTGCATTTTGTACAACTAAGATGTGCATTTTCCTTTGAGATTTTAAAATCTAATTTCCGACACCAGAATCCTCAATAAGATTTTTTTTCAGTAATTAATAGTAATTTCCATTTTGAAGAGGTTGCAATTTACTTCAAAATAGTAAGAAAGATATCCAATTTGAAATAAAAGATTTCTGGATATGTAGAAAAATTGTTGCATGTTTGGAAATTATCTAACATAAGGTTGTCTTATCATCTAACCACGCCAGTTCAAGAGAGAAGGATCATGAAATCGAATGCCACTACTGATATTGTCAAGTTCTTGCTACATACACTGTTATAGACCAATCAAAAGTAGTAGAATAGCAGCTCAAGGAAGATAACTAGTATAAAAGCTTGAGAATTTCCAACTGAACGCTTTTACTAGCTTATCATGCAAACAAAATGATAGAAGAAATCCTGTGATTCGAGCTCCCTAACTCTAGCTCCAGCTTCCACGTAACTGTCTTCTGCAATTCTGAGCATTTTAATGAATTTGAAGCATCGTTTATGACGCAATGAATAAGTAAACATTCATATAACACTGTCGGAGTGAAGTTTGGCTCTTTAAGAGAAAAATATAAGGATTAAAAAGGATCTACACCTTTTCAAGAATATTCTTATTTTCTTCTTGTAGCATATCAAGCTGCCTGCTGCCCAGTAAGCAGACATTAGCTTGACAAGAGACAAGCAGATAACGAACTCCTTTCAGGAGCAATAATCAACTGCGGTACATACAGATCAGTGGTTCAATCTTTATATATAAATAAAATAGCTCATCGCCAAGGGCAGAGGACGCATGCTCATCTTTTAAGTTTAATTGCACCTAACCTGGTGAAAACCTGCAGATCAAGTCAAATAAATGCCAAGATTTGCAACTATAGATGTTCTTTTAATGAAGACCGAAATACTATCCAACCATAGGCACAGAGCAGTATGCATCAAACAGGGAAGTGATAAGCCTCCAATCAGGTATATGTATTCTAGAAGAGCCCAGAAGACTTGAGAACCATCCTGCAACAGATGCAACAAAATTCTATTAACCAGACCAGCTGACTTGGATAAGTAGTTACAAGTAGGATATAGATATAGCGGAGGGAGGGGCAGGCAAAAATTAGTGAGTAGGAGTATGGAATAGGAGAGTAGTAGCCCTCTCAAAAGGCTATTTGTTACTTCTTTTATTGCCGCATTCTCCTTTAATTACACCAGGACACTGCTGGCTCTTAATTCTCATAGAAATACTTTCTATTTACAGACAGATTCCTATCAAAATGGTATCAGAGCAGTAGATTCTGATGGCTCAAAAGAAGACAGAAATCAGAGTGGAAGTAATGGAGAAGAAGATGGAGAACTTGAAATTAGAACTGTAGCGCCTACTGGGATTGGAGAGATCCGTGGAACATTTAACAAAGAATATGGCCAGAATGCTGCAATTAATGGATGAAACCCAGAAAACTTTGGCAGCTCTAGTTCTTTCAGTGACAACCATGAACAGATTTATGGAGGGAGATGAATTTGAAAGTGTTTTGAAGGCAGATCGTGACGTTGAAGGAGGTGGGGATAATGGGTTGATTCAAGAGAAATATGTCAATGGCTGGCAGTAAGGTCTGAAATCCGTATGGAAAAACCTGCGGGCTTGGTTTTGGAGATGTCCCAATTGGTAGAAGGGAACTTACTATTAAAACAAGCCCAAGGAGAAGAAAGCACAATTCATAATATAGGGGCAACTGGCTATGGAGTTTCCTATACTCATGATAGTTGCCCAAATGAATTCCAGCTTTGCTATTAAATGTGGTGGTCGACAAATTCAGTCTTCAGATCAGATTGTGTATGAGATGGACAATGGGACTCTTGGTCCGGCAACACATTACACAGTTATGCAGATGGACAGTTAGCAATGTTGGTCTACCTTCTGATAGCGACAACCCAGGATATAAAAGGTCGTCTTCATCCCAATTCCCTGCTGCTACAGTACACCCAGTTATTCATGTCTCACAATTTAAAAAGGCTTTAGGTTCAAGGGAAGCAAGCCAAATGCTTCCTCCCCAGCTTGGTGCTAACCTGGTTTATGGGTTGTGGAACCTGATCAAGTTTTGAGAAAACGGCAAGCACCACAAGGACAGCCTCCAGGGAAAGAAGTACTAGTTCAGTGGAAGGATCTGCCTGCGGCTGACTCCTCTTCCAGTGAAATCATTTCAGGAAGCTTTCACTCATTAAAGAAGGAAGGGCATATCCTCAATGTATGGCATACAATGGACAAAGAGGCTTTTAGCCAAATAAATATCTAAGAGCATCTCTAGAAGACTCTTTAAAAGTAATATGCTTTTTATTTTAAAGAGTCAAACCATGAAATTAGGCTCCAATACTCTTTGTTTTAACTTTTTAAAATAGAGAGTGAGTTTGACTTTTTATATTTGAAGAGCCAAACTCACTCTCTATTTGTATTTTAT